GAGAGAGAAGACGTCTCCATGTGTGAACCACAGAGAAGGCCATTACTGCAAATATCCTCCTGGTTTCACTTTTAGACAAAAGAAAATGATCTTTTGCAACTTTGATGCTCTAACAGTTTTCAGATTAAACGTTAGCATTAATCATTTTAAATTTGTCTGCTTGTGATGTCATCAGTCCTTCAGATCGCCGTGTTCTTATTCACTTTCACATTCAGCTGATCCAGCAGCAAGCCGCCATCAACACTGAACAATATCTACAGTAACATAGTATTGACACGCTGACAGAGAATAACCCTAATCCAATATCTGACAGCCTACAGGCCTCTTGGGTACCCCAGTGCATGCTGGGATATATGTTAATTTGGTCACAATGAAACCATGTGCCTTAAGTGGAACAGCTGCAGAGTCCAGACGTTGGAGTTCACGCAGCATCAGCAACAGGCTTTACATTAAGGAGCTCACGGGAGTCAAATAAAGCTGACACAGAGGAACAAACTCTTCTTCTGTACAAACAGATTTGCTGGTTTCACTGAAGTTTGAGAGAATGACAATGATACTGGTGCATCTCTTGTTCTTACAAGTGCTTCAACATCTGCTTCAGTAAATGTAAAGGTATTTCAGAAGTTTCACATAATGCCCGAGGCAAAGATTTTCGTTTTATTTCTCAGATGATCGAACACATAAAAAGTGTGAACTGTCACATCTTGACTCTTTCTTACTTCCTGTTTTCTGCGTTTAATCTTCTTCTCCTTTTTTGTTCCTCAGTTTTAAAACGCATTAAGCTGGCTTTAGGATTATTGTGGTTAACCACAGATTAAAGCAAAGCTCAACAACTCCAGGTCACATGTTTTTGTGTCTTTATCTTCATGGCACGGGTGCGTTTACCCTTAAAAAAATGTTTCAGCATAAAAGCCTTAAACAGAGGTCACGCTGCAGATGTTGGCTCTTTACTCGTGGTACCAAACATCCGGCTGGGATGAGACTCCACCAGTGGTGTGATGGGAAAGTTAAAGACTCTGCTGTGACCTCAGTGAGGGAAGATGTTTCCATGTTTCCTGTCACCAAGTTCTGTTGTTGACATGTTGTTCTGTGTGACTACAGCAGAGAGTTTGTCTCCTTCTTGGTCAGAGACATGCAGACTGTTATTTGATCAAAGGCTCATAAAACCTACAAAGATAATCTGACTGTACAAACTTCAGATTATTTAAGCACATCAGAGCTGGTCCAACAGCAGGAACCTTCAAACCTGGAGACAGTGTAGTGTCTAATAAGAGCATCAAACATGAGAAGAAATCAGAAAATCACATCCTTTTAGGCAAATTTCATAAAAAAGGAGTGAAGTCTAAGGACTCATTCAACAGTGACATTTACTGCTCTCTAAATCACAAAGACTGAAATTAAATCTCACAACGTAATCAAGCAAAATCGAGACTGTTTAGTTCATAAATACTTAAACTGCCTGAGGTTTAACTGAAAATATCCCAAGTAAGGATGATAAACAGTAACATAGTCTAAGGGCTAAGAAGCATACTAAAGCTTGATGTCCTAGTTACCACATCAGGTGCACTCTCTTCATTATTTCTTCCCCTGCTGTGGGGTACCTTCCCTCCAGGCAGGATGTTGGCGCTTCAGCACCACAGAGCAGTGTGAGGATGGGTGAACTGAGCTGAGTCAGCAGCTGAGGGACAAAACAGGAAGTCACTGTTGCTTCCTAACAGTCAACCAATCACAGGCCTCACACTGGACAGACGCTCAGACTGGAACAAACTTCCTCTGAGATGGGTTGATGGTTAAATAATTTTTCTATCTGTTACGTTTTCAAATATCGTGAAGTCACAAGCAAAGCGAGAACACACCAGGGTAAATGTTTAACACTGAAATTATTAATCAAATAGACAATGTGATGTTTTTGCATTGTTCATTGTATCATGTGGACAAAGATATCAAAATGAGGGATGCTGTCAAACTTGAGCGTTACACAGCTGTGTATGTCTAACCAAAATTTGGTTGAATCAGTTCAAGGCAAAAAAACAAGAGTTGTAATGTTTCACAAGCTCAATCACAAAAGTAACACAGGTCCACCTCAACTTTGA